CACACGGACAGTAAGTGTAAATGGAGATAGTAACAGATTCGAGAACTGACCCCTGGGCATTTGCAATGTAGCAGGTCAGGGAAACGAGGAGAGTGAGGAGGAGCAGCCAGTGGTGTCGAGAGGGAACCTGGAGTCAGTGGAGCCCCGGAAGTGATCAACTGAGTCAAATGCTACAACCTGAGTCTTGAGAATTGACTGTTACTTTACTTTTTGGGGGAGGGGGGAGGTAATTAGGTTTATTTATTTGATGGAGGTACTGGGGATTGAACCCAGGACCTTGTGCATGCTAAGCATACCCTCTACCACTGAGCTATACCCTCCCCACCCACCACCCCGTGAGATCTGACTGTTGATTTGGCCTTGGAGGTTTCTGGTGATCTTGATAAAGCTGTTTCAGTACAGTGGTGGTGAAAGCGTCACTGGAGGGGGTTCAAGAGAGATTGGGAGGAGAGGATAGAAGACACGTGAGGACTAGTTATTTTTAAATTAGTTTTTCTTTTCCTAAACAGGGACCAGCGAAATGGGGCCGTAGCTGGACGGGTACATAAGGTCAAGGGGGGGATTTATTTTAAATGGGAATTATGACAGCATATTAGTTGCTGATGGGAACGATCCAGTGATGAGGGGATAAGTGCTGATTCAGGAGAGTCATGGTGAGACTTGCTGGAAGGGATGGGCTCCAGGATGTAAGTGGCAAGTTTGGTCTTTGACAACAATGGGGACATTCCTTTCACAGTAAGAGGGGGAAGATGAGGTATGCGTGCATGGAGTTGGAAGGCCTCCTGATGGGGGTGTGTTCACTCTTTTCCTGTCTCATCAGTGAGTGAGTGCTTCAGATCCTTAGCAGAGAATAGTGATAAGGCAAGAGGAGTCGGAGGCTTGAGTGGAGGAGGGAGAAATGACCGTCCAAGGGAGCGGGCCGGTGACTGAATCAGGGGACTGAGCAGGGCTGCCAGACCAAGGCCCGCCCGGTGAGATTTAAGGCCATTCAGAAAGTCCCTGTGTCTCCCTTCAGCCTGTGTAGCTGCCTGGCTGCAGTCGTGGTGTAGACAGAGTTGAACTGTTTGTCAAGCACTGTCTGGGCTCCAGCCCAGCCAATTAGATCAGAATCTCTGGCGCGTGGGCCCAGCCATGGGTACAGCCAAAGTGAATGTCGTGTGTAACCAGAGTTCAGAACCATGGATTGAAGCAAGAAGGTTCACAGAAGAGCCTCAGATCCAGGACATCCTGCTGTGAAAAAAATTCAAGGTCTGTTTAATCATCTAATTGTGGGCTGAAATTTTAACTGAAAAAAGAAGCCAAAGAGGGGAAAGTAACATTGATGGATTATCTATTATGGGCTAGGAATTGTGCTGTGCATTACATTCTTAGAACCCGAATAAGATAAGAATTAGATAAGACTCTTGGAGATAAGAATTCTAGCCTCCGCTTTATAGTAAATAAGCTCAGATTCAGACAGGCGGCATGAGTCGTCCTCAGCTCCACAGCTAAGAAGTCATAAAGCCAGGGTTTTGAACTAGAGCTTATTTACTCTAAATTTTTGCTTAAGATTTTGTGAAAGATGTGAGGCTTGAGCTGTGTGTTAACAGAGGAGTAAGGTTTTGATTTTGGAGATGCAAGAAGGCTTCCCAGCTGGAGGGACACTGGGAGAAAAAAAGGCATGCAGGCCAAGAAAGAATATGTTGGACACGAGGAAAATTCAGGGAAAAGGCCGCCCCCTGTGGCCAGATGGGTTGAAGTAAAGGAAGGAACAGATGATTTTGACCAACCAACGAACAAATAAAGGAATCAGGGGAGTGGCTGTCCTACCTGGCCGGGCAGCTGGGCAGCCTGCCAGCAGACTAAGGGCCCAGGAAGTTGCTTTGCAGAACCGCTAAGCCAATGTTCCCTGCGTTGTTTGCACAATTCATTATTTTTAAGAAATGATAGCTGTTGGGCTCCATTGAGATAAAAGATGGCCTCTGAGTGTAATCTCATTATCATCTGTCACCCTGGCTGGGGAGCTTTATGTGTCCGCAGAAGCTTAGAATCTATATCTCCCTAGCTTTAATCTCAGGGTCAATATCCCAACACAGCTCTGCTCATAATAAATAGCTAGCAGCAAATGATAAAGTAGGCTACTGTGTTTTATTTTATTTGGCTTTCAAGCCAATCTATTTTATAGCTGTCTGTCTGAGGGCTGAAAAAAGACTTCCGGAGACGGCAAAGAATCATATGAAAAACCAGAACACGCTGACAAAAAGAATCTTTATCTCTCCTGCTTCCCAGACAGAAAGAGGCCCTACGTAGATGCCTGATTATGCATCTAATAAGGCGGCTGCTCATGGAAATGGTTCTTTTGACTGGTTGGCAGAGCAACTCTGTTTTATGCCCCTTTGGCCAGTAATGCAGCTTCTCATAGGTCCCTGTGTGGTGCGCTCAGTGATGACATTAGTTTGTTTGCCTTTTCACAGATTTTTATTATTATTATTATTATTATTGTTACTTTGAGGGTATGGAAAATCATCATTCTTGAAGTGCTAGCAAGAGAAAAAAAGGAGAGAAAGAGAGAGAGTTGAAAAATAAAATAGCCTCTGTCCTCAATAGTAGTGCAGATTAGAAGAAAGTTGAATTTCTCTTCTCCCTGCCTAATTATTTCTTTTGGAAATATATGTGGTTCAAAAAAAGTTGGAAAGTATCTTGCCTATTCTGGGGTGGAAAGCCTACACTTTTGTGTTTTTACATTATAAAAACCAAAAACATCACAAATGATCCAATCAAAATGTATGCAATAAATTCAACACAAAAGACAATATTTAAGTATAATTGCTATAGTTTCAGTTTCTGACGAAGAAAGTTTCTTGAGTAAAGCCATTCATTAATACAGCACATCCTCACTGTACATTCATTCGCTGAGCACACATGTATTAAGTATCCACCAGGAGGCAGGCAGTGTGCGGGGTCCTGAGGGAAATGAAACTGACCCTGAGCTCAAAAAAAAAAGAGCTTACACTAGTGACTAAGGCTCTTCAAGTAGATATACACGGGTGATGAAGGGGCATAAAACCAGTGGTTGCCCACACTGTCCAAAAGGCATGGCCAGAGTTATATCCAAAAGTGCCATATGTATTGCCTTTGCACAACCTACAGGCTATGGCATAAAATTCGCTATTGCTGTAGAACCAACTGGAATTTTCCTAAGAACCAATGACTGCAAAGATTGTGCACATTTTATGTAGATTTTGTGAATGAGTTATAGGCATACTTTTAAAAAATTGTTATTGCTATCCTGAGGGGTATTTCTTGATTTATTTCCTTTATAATTTTTTAAATTGTTAAAATTTATGTGCGTTCCCCTACGCACTTCTATGAAGAAAGTCAAAAGATGTTTAGCTAGAGAGGAAGTTAGGAGAAACTGGGAGGGCTGTGACAGATGTAACCTGGACTCTAAAGGGGCTCATGTGATCTCATGAAAGATACTTCCAGAGTTAAATATAGAGGATACAGTCGCTTGGCTTGCAGGACCCCATATCTCTTGGTTGCCCCTTCTCAGTCTCTTGCTGGTTTCACTCTTCCCCTTGGCTTCTCAGTGCTGTTGGGCTCCGCCACTGGTCCAGTTCTCTTTTCATCCACCTCCACTGTCTTGATCATCCCATCTAGTCACGTGACTCTAAATACCATCTATGTGCTGACAGCTCGCAAATTTGTGTCTATAGCCAAGACCTCGCTGTCTCTCTCTCAAACTCTAAATTCATATAGAAAATTCATCCTTGAATGTCTAGTATTCATTCCCTCCATCCCCAAACCTGATCTACACATAGCTCTCCCCATCACAGTTGATGGTAGCACAATTCTTCAGGTTGCTCAGCTCAAAAATCTTAGTGCATTCCTTCACTTCTCTGTTCTTCACACCCTACATCCAACAGATCAACAAACTGCCTTAGCTCTTTTCAACATAAAAGCGGAATCTGAGCATGTTTCCCCATCTTCAGTGCTACCTCCTGGTCTGAGCTACCTTTGTCTCTTGCCTGGATTCTTGCATACCCTCTGATTGGTCTTCCTGCTTCAACCCTTCCCCTCCTACTGTCTGTTTCCCACACTGCAGCCAGAGCAATCCTTTTAAAATCAAGTTAAATCATGTCATTCCTCTGCTTTTAACCCCGCAATGGCCTCCCATCTTACTAAAGAGATGCTAATGACCTTCGAGATCCAGCCCTGTCACCTCTCTACCTCTTTCCTTCTACTCTTCCTCTTACTCACACCACTCCAGTGACATCACCTGTCTGTCCTTGAACATGTCAGGGATGCTCTCACCTCAGGGCCTTTGCACTGTTGGTTCCTCTGCCTGAAATGCCATCTCCCCATATCTCTGTTTATCTCTCACCTCCTTCAAGTCCTTGCTCAGATGTCTCCTTCATGCAATCTGCCCTGACCCTCCCATCTAACTTGCAGCCGCCCCACTCCTGGCACTGCCCTTCCCCCTCCCCTGCTCCATTTTTTGGGTAGTACTTACCACCTTCAACAAGGCTCCTTCCACTAGAACTTAAGCTCCATAAGTCAGGGATTTGTGCTTGTTTTGTTTGGTGGTTTATCCCAAGCACTTAGAGCAGTGCCTGGCAGATCGTAGGTGCTCAATAAATCTTTGAATATAAACAAAAATGAATAAATGTATTACATGCAGGAGGGAACCTCCTTTTAAGGACTATCTGTATCTACCCAATTTGTGTACTCAGGAAAGTTATGTTAGTTCAATCAAAACACTGAAATAATAATTTAAAAAAGAAATAGAGTACACTGATTTATAAATGCAATTTAAAAGGTGTTAGCTTAGCTAAGCTTAGAAGTAGGATCACATGTTATTCAAAGGCTTTTATATAGTTTTTAAAAATTTGATAAGATGTATTTAATATACAAAGAACAATAGTATTTGATGCAGAACTTAAAAGCTTCAGGCAAAATAGTCTTTTTAATCTGTAACTTTAAATTGAATATTAATTTTTAAAAGCAACATAAACCTCTGATTAGATTTTACTGCCTCAAAACCATCCGAGGTCACCAAAAAGCTCACATTTAATAGAAGCAACATAAAAGAAACTTTCTAACTATGCCATCCTTCAGGAATCAGGCCGGGGAGGCGGTCAGCAGGAGTGAATCAGTGCCCGGACGCTGTGAAGGTGACCTGGGCTCTGGGGAGAGCAGCCGCAGGCCGTGAACTTGGCTGGTGGGTGCCTTTGCTCTGAGTCGAAGCGTTCCTCGGCGCGCGGAGGAACACCAGGGCCGGAGGCCTCTAGTGCCTGAGCAGGTAACTTGAGTTCCATCAAAGCCAGCTCGGCTCATCCCTGCCGCGCCTCCCCAAGGCAGCGCGGTGAGTGTGGCATTCAGGCAAGTGCTTGATTTTCTGCTTCTTTATTAGCTTAATTTGAGAAACCAACTCTGTCCCCACAGAGAAAACTGCAGGACGATCACTTTGAAGTGGTGGCCATTTCTGGCTTCAGCACTTTAATTCCCACTCACTGCTGCACGTCTCCTTGGTTTCCCTGTGTGTGGCCGCTGGTCCTAAAATTTCCATTTGCTTCCACGTTGGCCCAGGGGTCAGGTCAGGTCAGGCCGAGTGAGAGCCCTGGGCAGATGCTGTCATGACCCGACATGCAAAGTGTAGGTCTTAACTTTCCCGTGATCAGGCCTAAGAAGAACCACAGGGAATGACGTAAGGCCGGCAATGTGGGAACCAGAAAGAAACTCTAAAGAATCAGAAATGATTGTACATGAAGAAAAACCTGAAAGGAGGGTTGACAATGATCTGAAAATGTGAACCAGTTTTAAGACTGTCCTTAGTTCTGACCCTTTCTATATTTACTTTACTTCCAAGCATTCAGGGTGCTCCAGGGACTGGCCGTGGAGCGGTGGGGGAGCCAGGTGGTGGGGAGGACCACCGAGGCGGGGACGGCCGAGATGGCATCATCACTCAGCACACCCTGCAGACAGGGGCGCCCTGGACCTGCGTGCGATCCTGACTTGGACTGCAGGGAGCTCAGCGCCCTTTCTCTGCTCCGGGCCCTACTTGCCATTTCCAGAAAAAATAGGAAACATCCCACTTGCTACTTCCCACTATGCATTAAGAGAACAGGGACGTTGGTTTTTACTGGGTGTTTTTGTGTTTATCTCCATGGAGATTATTCGATAGAAAACCAAAGCACAATATACCAAGATTTTTATCATAGCTCCTTAGAAATTGTTCCTGAAGTCTCTTTAAGGAAGTCCAGTGTCCAGCTAGAGCAGAGAGACAAGGAAGAGCATACAGATGCCTTCTCTGAGAAGTCTTCCCCAGGCTACCCCAAGAGGGCCAGCTGCGCCACCTTCTTTCTTCCATTTATTTGACAAACATTTATTTGTCAACACCGAGGATCTAGCAGTCTCTGACTTCAAAGAGCTCTCAGTATAGTGAAGAGAAAGAAAAGCAAACAGATACTCACAATGCAGTGTTACAAACGCTATGATGGAAGTGGCGGGACTGCTGGGTGTGGTTGTGTGAGTTGTGTACTGCACAACTCCAGATGGGAGCAGGGTGCCTTTCACGTTGCAGCCAGGTAGATGCACAGCCACATGTGGCAGCCTTGTTAGCTCTGGAGGCAGATAGGAGGGACAGTTAATCTGGGCAGGTGAAGATAAGCAAAGGGTGGTAAACTCTTGAAGTGGTTCCTGTGTTTCCAATCTCCTATTCACATCCTTCTGTCACCCCTTCCCCCTGGAGTGTGGCAAGGCCTATGGCTTCACTTTAACTAGGATAATATGGCAAAGGTGATAGCATGTTGCTTCTAGATTTTATTACATGAGACTATAACATCTCTCCTGCTAAGAGACCCTCTCCTTTGCTGGCTTTGAAGAAGCAGGCTGACATGAGCTTCCCTCTGGAGAGGGCAACATGGCAAGGAACTGAGGGCAGCTGACAGCCAGCAGGAAACTAAGGACCTCAGTCTGACAGCCCACAAGGAACTGAATGCTGGCAGCAGCTATACATTCTTGGAAGTGTATCCTCCCCGAGTCAGACCTTCAGATGAAACCCCACCTCTGGATGATGCCGTGACTGCAGCCTTGTGAGAGACCTGGAAGCAGAGGATCTAACTGTCATGCCTGACTTGTGAGAACATAAATGTGTGTTGTTTTAAGCTGCTAATTGGGTGGTAATATTATTATGCAGCAGAAGATAACTAATATGAAAACTTAGGGACAGCATCTCAGCTTACATGTACACTCTGTTTCTGTGGTACTTTGGAAAATCCTCAGAACAGTATATTGCAAATGTCTGTCTCCCCTTTTGAAGCCATTGACCATGTCTTATCCACCTCTGAGCTTCCTCATCTATAAATAGGATAATAATGTCTACTGCTTAGAGCTGCAAATTAGATAATTTAGGCAATGTGCTATTCTACTGTGCCTGACTTAGTAAGTGCTCATTAACTGCTACCTCTAAATCTGCAGGGTTTATCATGGTACCTGGCACTTGTGTTACAAATGTTTATTAAATAAATGGTTAAATGCAAGAATTGATGGAGAAGTCCAATGTATCAGTACTGGAAAAAGGAAAAATGTTCAGAAGTTTGGCCACCATCCCTCAAGTTCTGCCAGAAGGAACCAAAGGTGTATTAAACAATTAATCTTGTTATATGGCAGGGCAACCCCTCTTCCACCCCATCACACCTGCCCGCCATGTTCTTATTCCTCAAGAGTATCTTGACTATCTGTGGGCCTTAAGTCTCCCATGTGAAATTCAGAATCAATTTAACAAGGTCTGTAATAAACTATTGAGATATTGGTTGGAATTGCATTGAATTTGGAGAGAGTTGATATATTTATGGTACTGAGTTTTCTTACCTATGAACATGGTACATCTCTCTATTAGTTTAGGTCATCTTTAATGTTTTTTAATAAAAAAAGTCTCCATAAGATTCTTGCCCTTATTATATTATAGTTTTCTTTCTGCTGTAATGGTATCTTTTAAAAGTTATGTTACTATAATTTTTATGGCTGCTGTATGGAAAGGCAATGGGTTTTTGTATACTCAGCCACTTGACTAAATGCTTTTCTTAATTCTAATAATTAGACTATAAATTCTTTTGAATATTCTGTATAGGCAGTCATATTATCTGCTAATGATCATTTCATTTCTTCCTTTCCAACCTGTATACCTTTTATTTATTTTCCTTTTAAAATTTTATTAACAAAGTCACGAGGATAATGTTGAATAGACTGATGACACTGGGAATTCTCAGCTTGCTCCTAATTTTAAAGGCACTGCTTGTAAATTTTACCAGTAAAGCTGATATTTCCCATAAGTTTGGTTTTGGCTTTTAGTTAAGAAATTACCTTCTTAATTATAATTTTCAGAATTTCTATCACAAATTAGTTTGCTTTTTCTCGGATACTGTTTCCTGCATCTATTGAGATGATCAAATGATTTTCCTTTCCTAATCTGTGAATGTAATGAATTACATTAATTATTTTTATAATGCTTGCATTATAAACTTTGCATTCCTGAGGTAAACTTAACTTAGTGCGGTGGATTATCTTTTTCATATTCTGCTGGATTTGGTTGATAATAGTTTGTTTAGAATAATTTACATCTGCAACTTTGGTTAAGAGTAGAATTGACCGATGATTTTCCTTTCTAGTCATATTTTACTTGATTTTAGGATCAGTGTTATATTAATCTCATAGGATGAATTGGAAGAATTTAAGATTGGTGCAAGAGGGTGTTCAATTAAGTTTCAAATTATGGACTGAGATTCAAGAGGTCTAACCTTCCAAGTGATATGATAGGCCAGGTAGCCTGTTCAAAGGAAATACCCAGGACTTAGTTCCTTGCCATCAACTCCTCATCCTCTCAAGCATGTAAATCAAGAAGATCCTTCTGGAAATTGTTACTGGTATGAACTAAGCCGATTGAGAAGGAATTGAATAGTTCCCCTTGGAGAACTCCGTGAGCCCCCTGCAGCTAGGCGGGTCCGGTGGACTTGTGCCCGCCTCCTGCCTGGAACACAAAAGGCAGGAACAGGGCTGGCTGGGACAAGGGAAAGGTGCTGCTGGGCTTGCATCAGCTTGCATCCTCCAAATCTGCCTGGGCGAAGAGCGCGTGAGTGTCTCCTTGGCTCGTATACCAGAAATGCACAAAAGGGCCGGCACGGGGTCACCCTGGATTGTTTCAAATAGAGTCAGGTCAGCTGGAAGGTGAACAGGTTGCATTACAGGCAGAGCTGGAGGTGAATGCTGGTTGCTGTTTTTGTTGTTGCTTGTTGGCATTAAATGGGAGTTAATAAGCAACTTCTAGAAAGCAACACATTCCTTCAGATCAAGGGAAATTAGTAATGATGGGATAAGAAAACAGGCCCTCCAAAATTCACACGAAAGCAGTCCATGGAAGAAAGAACCCGCCTCAAATACTCGGCAGGTCCAGAGGGAGCAAAGCCCTCCAACAGCAGTACCAGTTCAGTAAAGACTGTCTCTTCCCCTTCCTTCCTCATCTCCCAAACCTGACCAGATCAGAAAAAACGCTGAGTGAATGAGGGTGTCCCTGTTATCTGGTGATTGTCTTTCAGCTCCAAGCCCATCCGTTTATTCTTGACTCTGTGATGCTGGAGCCACCCTTGCAAACCACATCTCTGCTCTGTCGGCTGTTGCCTCTTGGACTCTGCCCGTCAGGAAGCTCGAGGGAGACTGGAAGGCTGGAGGGACAGAAGGATGTGCTCCCTCACTGCTTCTCTCCTGTGGACTTCGGTCTGCTCTTGGTCCGGTGAGTGTCACTCCAGCCACTTCTTCACCCTGGCAGTGGCAGTCCCGTCCATAACCCTGCCAATCCAATTCACAGTTTCTACAAAACTTACAGGACCAGGCTCACTGCATCCACCGCTCCACTCTGAAACATGACTGCATCTTGGCCAGCACCTCACTTTCGAAGTCGGGGTCCTGACCTCGTGGGCTCCTTCCTTTGAGCTCAGAGACACCAGCACCAGCCAAGCATCACTTCCTCCTCAGGGGCCAGAGTTTCAGTTCTGCAGGGTTCCTTGTCTGTGCTTTGAAGCTTTAAGAATTTAACCCTCATCCTTTTATTCCCTCAGCCTTGGAGATGGTAGCTGCTTCTTCAAATTGCTACATTTATGATGCCTTGGGATTCTCTTCTTATCTCTTCAGTTACCTGGTTAGTAGTGTTACATTTAGTTAGTAATTCTTTATATTAAATTCTTTTCAAATAACTGGTGTGTTTTCTGTCTCCTTGATTGGAGCCTGACTGTTGGAGGGGAGGGGTGATTGAGAAGGTGGGAGAGAGAAAGAGAAAATTCTGACTCCATTTCCTGCCACAGCCCTAGTTGGAGGAAATGAGGGTGGAGTGCAGAGAGAAGTCTGAATTTTTAAATTGAAAGCCTAGCTTATTATATTGTACTGGACATTTTAAGTTACTAATTTGATTCAGGGTTTATGTCTAAAAGTAAATATAAGCATTTTTATTCTTCAATAATGGCCATAAAAGTCAACCGGTTTGCCTGAGTTTTCATCCAATGGCAGGGGAAGGATTACCTTCACTGAATTTTTTTTTAATTAAAGTATAGTTGATTTACAGTGTTATGTTTCTGGTGTACAGAAAGTGATATATATATATATATATATATATATATATATATATATATATATATATACACATACATATTCTTTTCCATTATGGTTTATTACAGGATATCGAATATAGTTCCCTGTGCTATACAGTAGGACCTAGTTTATCTATTTTGCATATAGTAGTTTGTATCTGCTAATCCCAAACTCCTAATTTATCCCTCCCCACCACTTTCCCCTTTGGTAACCTTAA